CCTGGGCCATCCCTAGAGCCGGAATCCATCTTGTTTTCCAGTTGATGAAGGTTGTGAATGAAATGTGCCCCAATGTCACCAGAATCTACAATATCGGCAAGAGTCACCAGGGCCTGAAGCTGTACGCGGTGGAGATCTCGGATCATCCCGGGGAGCACGAAGTCGGTGAGGCGGCTGGGGCTGGGGCTCGGGCTGCCCAGGGGGGTGCTACGGACAGGCAGGAGCTCTCCACGCAGGACGCTCACAGTCAGATGCCGAAGTCCCGGTTCTGAGACCCTCTTGTCTTGTGATGTTTAACTGGAACATTATCTGAAGCTGGGGTACCTTCCTCTTGTCCAAATGCACCATATTAAACTTTGATTTCTGTCTCGAGGACCCAGCTCACAGATCAAGGAAGAAAGTTGGGAAAGAGTCTTTTTTAGAGAGAAAACTCTGGACTCCCTGGTCATTCGTGGTTCCAGTCAGAGGCAATTCTTTTTTAAAAAGTGTCAATACTAGGGCCTCTCTGGTAGCCCAGGGGTTAAGTCTCAGCGCTATCACCTCAGCAGTCTGGGTGCTGTTCCCAGCCAGGGAGCAACCCCCAGGGCGCAGCAGACTGCTCCTGACCCCCGCTGCTCCCCTCAGCAGTGTGCTCCCCTCAGCAGTGTGCTTCCTCAGTCTGCCTGTTCTGCTCCCCTCTCTGTCTCTGGTGAGTCCTCTCACCCCCTCATCTCTGGCCTCGACCCCGGTTCTTCCAGGATGTCAATCCTCTTTTCAAACATTTCTTACTCTCAGCCATTTCACGTCCAGACGTGCGTGGGCCTGCACCGCTGGTCTGGTAGTTTCTCCGAGCTTGCGCACTTTGTCTGCTGGTACAGTCCCATCTCCTCCAAAGCAGCAGCTTTGCCAGTGACGAAGGAGAAGGGGTCCCTTAGCACAGGCACTGCCCCCATAAAACCCCAAGACTGAAAAAGCTGAGCTTGGAAGGAGAAACCTCTCAAAGAGCCTGCTCGGCCGACCCGTCCCCTGGGCTCTTTTCTACTTGTATTGATTCATCTTTGGAAAATACAAGAGGAGATTCTTTTAAGAAAAATAATTGGCCCCCCTAGAGAAAAGCAGCTGCTATGGCTTGTGCTTAATGTGCAAATTTTTCTTTTAAGATTTATTTATTTATGCACACAGAACTGGGGTACAGGCCAGAGGCTCAGGGGCGGTGAGAGGCTTCACCAGAGACAGAGCAGGACAGGCAGATCGAGGAAGCACACTGCTGAGGGGAGCAGCGGGCGGGTCAGGAGAGGTCTGCCGCCCTCTGGTCACCTCCGGGGCAGGGACCGAACTCATGCTTAAGAGGCTTTGGCTTCTTGGTGCTGTGCTGTAACCCGCTGCGCCCCCAGGGAGGGCCCCGTGTGCAAATTTAAACTCTACACACGGTGTGCTCTTCCTCCTGGCTACAGGGAAGGAACATGATTCCCCGGCACTGGCTTAGTCCTTTCACAACACTGTCGTATTTCCTCATTTCGGGATTAAAAACGGGCAGGTTCACTTGAAAGAACAGAGAGAGCTGAAGGGGTCGGCCGGTGGGACTCAGAGTCTCCCCAACACCGTGGACCAGCCCTTCTGCTGAGAGCAGCCTGCCCGCTGCACCCCCGCTTTGCGCCGGGGAGCCTGCCTTTCTGAGCCCGCCCCCCCTTTGCACCAGGGGAGCCTGAGTTCCACTACATCGCCGGTGCCCACGGCAACGAGGTGCTGGGCCGGGAGCTGCTGCTGCTGCTGGTGCAGTTTCTGTGCCAGGAGTACCTGGCGGGCAACACGCGCATCGTCCGCCTGGTGGAGGAGACCCGGATCCACATCCTCCCCTCCCTCAACCCCGACGGCTACGAGATGGCCTACGAGGGGGTAAGGGCCGCCAGCTGGCGGGCAGCCCCCGGAGCCCACAGGCTTGGGAAGGACACACGCAGGGCTGCGATGGGCGAACCCCAGCAGCGGCCGGGCCAACAGGCGCAAACGCGACCGGGAGGCTGTGGTCATCCACGCAGAGGCGACCCAGGACGGCGACAGCCTCCCCAGGGCCGCGGCCCTCGGCAGGCTCGGGCTGGCCTTGCCTGGGACCCGTCATCTGCCCTCCGAGCGAGTCGTTCTGTTGTTCCGGCTGCCGTTGGTGCTTCCTGCTCTCGTCCTGACAGGGTCTGAGTGGGTCATGGCCACGCAGCCAGGGACGCCTGCCGAGGGTTAGGTAGTTGGTAGCGGGCTGAAGGATAACGCAGTTCGTTACTCAGCGCACGGTGAGTGCAAGTGTCCAGAACCCCCCAATCGGCGTTACGCTGTAGACCCAGAATGATGGGTGACAGTTGCTGGGCACAAAATGAAAACTCTGCTTCGCACAGTGGCGTCTCCCAAACCAGGCTCTGCGACAGACAGGCGGCTGGGGATTTGCAGCGTCCACAAGAGGGCCAGGGCCTGGGCAGCGCAGAGGGGATGGCTGATTTAGAATGGCAGACTTCAGGCTCATTAATGCTTAGTTGTTTAGCCCACCGGTGGGGGAGGCCCAGGGGGGCAGAGGGACTGGGGGGCCGGTTTCTCTGAGCACTGCTGAGCTCTCGGGAGCCCTGCTTTGGGGAGATGTGTCTGCATTAGCCGACTCCCAGCAGACGGCGGGAACTTTCCAAGTCTTCTCCTTTGGATGCCATCTGGGTGAGAAAGTGCCCAGGGCTCAGAGACACACCCCTGGTGGAGATGGAGAGGGGGCCGTCGCGGGTGGGGTGGGGAGGAGGGCAAGGGGCAGCGCTGGCATTATGGGACGCCAGCCCCTCACCGCTGAGTGGCCTCCTAGGGCTCGGAGCTGGGCGGCTGGTCCCTGGGACGCTGGACCCACGACGGGATCGACATCAACAACAACTTCCCTGACTTAAACACGTTGCTCTGGGAGGCGGAGGACCGACAGCACACCCCGAGGAAAGTCCCCAACCACTTCATCTCAGTCCCGGAGTGGTTTCTCTCTGAGAACGCCACGGTGAGTGCAAGTTCCCGGGAACCCCAGAATCAGCGGCAGGGAGCATTAGCATCTGCTGGTATTTACAGAGGGCCTGGCACTTGAGACCAGGACAAAACCATCTTTTCTTTCATGTTAGGAAGTGAGTTTGATAATAACTGTCTTTAAAATTGGTATTTGGGGCCCTCCCTGGTGGCGCCACGGGTTAGGACGCAGCACGGCAAGCTGGCCACAGCAGCTTCAGTGCGAGTTCAATCCCCACTCCCGAGGTGACCCCCAGGGCATGGCAGACCTCTCCTGACCCGCCTGCTGCCCCCCTCAGCAGTGGACTTCGTCCATCTGCCTGTTCTGCTCCCTGCTCTGTCTCTGGTGAAGCCTCTCGCCGCCCCTGACCCTCTGGCCTGTACCCCAGTTCTGTATGCACAAATAAATAAATCTTTTTAAAAAGTTGACATTTGGGGAGATGCTTCATAGGAGAGAAGCCATTTAATTATTTATTTTTTTTTTAGCAATTCCTCAGTGCTCTGAAACAAATAGAACTTCCTCTGAATTATGTCTGTCCCTATTATGTCCCTATTATTACCACCCTCGTCTCTGGCACTTACACTGCTGTGACAGTGGCCTTAGTCCTCACAGATTGCTCGAGAAATGTTATGTTTATTTTAAACCCCCATGGATTTCATGCATATGATACTTCTTTAGTTTATTGCCCTTAAATGTCTAAGTCTTATTTCACAAAGAGCATGTAGTAGAATTTTCCATGTCTTTCCCCTCCCTTGCTCATGGGTAATCTGTTTCTTTACCCCTTGCCTGTGATCTTTATGTGTCCTCGAAGCCAACTTGATTACTTATGTGAGCTTAGATTCAACTGTAGCGACAGAAAACGCAAAACATCAGTGTCTTAACAAAGTAAAATTATTGTCTTTTTTACACAAATGGACCCTAGAGGCAAATGGCACAGGGCTGGCCAAGTAGAAGCGCCGGGGTCATGGGGAACCAAAGGCCCATCTATATTTCTGTCTCTGCCATTTTGCGCTCAACTTCGAGCCTCATCCTTACCATCCAAAATGGCGGCTGGTGCCCCAGCTGTCAAATCTGTGAAGGAAGAGGAGAGAGGGGCTTAAAATAAGATGTTCTCCTGTCAGATGATTGAGTTTCCCTTAAGGGCGATTCCAAGATGTCCTGGATAACTTCTGCTTAAATCTCATTGGCTAGAATTTAGTCAAAATACAATGTCAATCAACTAGAGGAGGCCCAGCACGGCTGCCTCATTTATGAGTCACAGACGGTTTCTTCAGGCTCTTAGAAGCCACCAGTCACTGTGTGGAAACATGTGGCGACAATGCCATGTGGCCGGGTTAGGATGCCCAGAGTGGCTGGTGAAGGCACAGGATCCCGGGCCTCTGCTCTTCTGAGTCTATTCCATCCTATAGAATTCTCTTTTCCTACCCTGACATTCCTAATGACACATAGCAATGTCCAGATTCAAGTGATGGCTATAACCTGGAAATCCTTGGCCCAGAACTGGGAAATGGTGTCTGGCTTTCTTAGTCCTGAAGTGGTAAAAGCTGAGTGATTACTGTACCACAGTGGTTAAAGTCCTTGGCTTTCAGTCTTTGTTTTAGGACTAACATTTAGTTTCCTGAGTGTGTTGTTCTTTAGAGGTACAGGAAGGTGGCTTATTTTTATTTTAAGTTCCATGGTTTTAGTACATGTGGTGCATCTTCAGAAAGGAAAAACAAATCTAGGTCTTGCTTCACAAAGAGTAGGTCATTAAAGACATTTCACAAAATGTCCTTATCATCACCAATACCTTTCTCAGTAATGGATGGGTTAGCTAGGTAAGCAATCATCAAGGTCAAAGTTTTGACTAACAATCAGTGGGCTTGACGTAGATTTCTACAAGAACTCTGTGATCAACTGTAAGATAATGTTTATTCTTCTCAATAATTACTGCCACTTATTGATGATAAACGAGGTTATAAAGGAAATCTTAGAAACTAGGAATCAGACAGATGGTGGTCTGTGGTCTCTAAAAACACAAAATAAGATTAATGAAACTCCATGTTGTATTTAGAAAATTGAACAAACTTTCAAATAATGGGTCAACGAAAAAAGTCAGACTGAAAACTAAAACAAGTTAAAATGGAATACTAATGAAAACAATGCATATCAAAATTGTGTAATGCAGCAAAAAAAAAATGGTGCTTTCAATAAATTTATACTTTAGGTGAGTATGTTGCCAAAGAAGCAAACATGAAAATTAACCAACTTAAGAAGTTAGACAAGGAGTAAAAGAAGAAATCCCCCAGAACGTGGAAAGATGGACATGAGAAAGTATGAACAGAAATAAATGAAGTGATAGAAAACAAAGGAAAAATATGAAGTGATTATGGCAAGAAGCATTTGACCAAAGCGCACAAACACGATAAAATGTTAATAACGTCATACTGTAAACAAGTACTTTGAAGACATTAATAGTGAAATGAAGGATGAATAGATTCTACATAAAAATAAGAAACCCTTAACTAAAATGAGAAAAGCAAAAAACTGAGAGAAGTTTATTGTCAATTATCTAACTGGAAAGAAGGACAATTTTGAAAATATATAGTAAAGAATAACAAGAAAAATACCAACAACTCAGTAGCAATGGGTCAGAGGTATGAAGAGGCAATTCACAGAGGGGGAACCCACGGTCAATGCTCGTGGAAAGATGGCCTTGCTGGCGCGCAGATGCGTTGATGAGGGAGCAGTTTATACCCACCAATGGCAAAATCCAGAAGCGTGACACCCCCGAGTGTCGAGGTCAAAGGACAGTGGGGAGCTTATACGGGGCAGCGTGGGAGTGAGCTCAGTGACCCTGGATGTGTGTCTGGCTCGTCATTGGAATATTTTCTTATTCTGTGACTCTCAGCTCCACTTCGGTTATCTATGTGAGATAAACTTCAGCCCATGTGCATCAGAAGCCAGCACAATTAAGTTAAGGAACTGCTTAATAGAAGAAAAAAAAACAACCAATTATCTCTATTTCCATCATCATAGATTAAGATTAGTTAAATGCTGGGAGCTTCAGACTAGAGTGAAAGAGGAATGATAATAGCTTTATGTAACAAGCTGGGTGGATCTTCAGAACAGAAAACAAAAACATGTTGCAGACATCAGCAATCAGCACAGTTCTTTTTTTAAGGTCAACAAGAAGCAAAGCCAAGTCGTAGCTATTTTGTACACAAATAGGCTAAGACGAGAACGAGAACCCTATTGCTGAGGACCCAGTGGGAAGGGACAATGGGAGAGGGTCCCCGATGAGACCTGGCTGGGCTCGGGGGCTCACAGGTGTTTGTTAGGCCCACATCTGTGAAAGAAGAGGGTGGCAAGGGGCCGTCAGCATAAGGTGTAATGAGCTTGGCTCCGAGCCGAGTCCAACCCAGGGCCCCTGGGATATTTATGAAGAAAAACAAAACTTCATGAATTTTTTTCTTCATTCTCAAACCCATTTTCTGTTTCCAAACTGTCTGCAATTTTGGCTGCTGGACATTTTCAGTGGAACCATTTTCAGTGTTTATTTCTTCCCCACCATCAGTGTTCTTCTCCTGCAGTGATCTTAGGGGTTAGTTCCTTATGATAAGTATTTAATTCATTGATCAGTATTTGGCCATATCAGACTTTACATTTTACCTTCTGACGTGGTGAGTCTTCTTTCTTTTCTTGTTTATCGTTGAAAATGTCCAGCAGCCAAAATTGCAGACAGTAATGAAGGACCCCAGGGACCCGCCTCATCTTCACATCAATTCATGTTTCACCTTGTCCCCCTTTTCCTTCACCCCAAGATTTTGGAAACAGACTCAGATAGCTATCATTTCATTGGTACATATTTCAGTAGATATCTCTAAAAGATTGGACTCTTTTATCTTTAGATTTATTTATTTATACATACAAGAACAGGGTACAGGCCAGAGGTGTGGGGCGGCACATGAGAGGATTCACCGTAGACAGAGCGGGGAGCAGAACAGGCGGATGTGCTGAAACCCACTGCTGAGGGGAGCAGCGGGGAGACAGGAGAGGTCTGCTGCGCCCTGTGGGTCACCTCCGGGGCGGGGATCGAACTGAGGCCGCCATGGCTGGTGTTGGCTTCGTAGTGCTGAGGCTTCCCCCCTTGTGCCACCAGAGAGGGCCTAGTTCATGTCGTTTAAGCATCCTTTAGAAATAGGTTTCTTCTCTATCACCTTCTCACTGTTTTCCTTGACACTTGACAGCCGTTGTTATCTTGTAACAACGGGGTCATGAACAACCCCGTTACCCTACAGCGTCGTCCACTGTCCAGAGCTGCTAGCTGCGTCCTGTGATGTCCTGTGCTGTATTTTCTGTGTTTCCTGTAAATTGCCTGTTGGACTCTGGCTGGACAGACTAGTTAGCAGGCCTTGGCCTTTCCTGCCGTGGTCTTGCTTTGGTAAATGGTGTTTTATTGGCCACAGCCATTCACCGGCACCTTGTCCCTGGTGTGACATGGCCACAGCTGAGCCCCGGTGACAGAGACCTGGCCAGGTACTGTCCAAGGGCTTGGTGAGGTCCAGGGTAGATCTGTGTGAGGTGTGAGTTCTCCCACCGCGGCCCAGGCTGCTGGGTTATGTCCCTCCATGCTCTCGGGAGCTGACGGTGGGCAAGCTGACCTCTAAGTCCCTGGGAGCTGCAAGGTGCGGCACTGACTATCATTCCCTCGGGAGCACTAACTGGGCCTCCCAGGACCGCTGTGGAAAGTCTAAATCCAGACAGTTCCGTCACATCACTACTGCTTCAAGAGCTCCTGTCAGGAGAGGGAGGAAGAGCCGCCCCCGTCACCCCGCCCCTCAGGCGTGTGTCTGGACGTCCCAGGTGGCGGTGGAGACGCGGGCCGTCATCGCCTGGATGGAGAAGATCCCCTTCGTGCTGGGCGGCAACCTGCAGGGCGGGGAGCTGGTGGTCGCGTACCCCTACGACATGGTGCGCTCGCTCTGGAAGACGCAGGCGCCCAGCCCCACACCCGACGACCACGTGTTCCGCTGGCTGGCCTACTCCTACGCCTCCACGCACCGCCTCCTGACCGACGCCCGGCGGCGGGTGTGCCACACCGAGGACTTCCAGGAGGACGGGACGGTCAACGGGGCCTCCTGGCACACGGTGGCCGGAAGTAAGTCTCCGGTGGCCTGCTGTCGTGCTCGAGCCAAACTGGGCTGGTGGGCCTGGGGCGAGGGGCTCTCGAGGCCACAGCCAGCTGGGGTGTGAGTGGACGCCACGTTGCCTGTCCACTGGAGGTCACCCAAGGCCACAGCTCAGCTGTGCACACTGAGGAGACTGAGCTGGTCCTGGGTCTGTGGGGACCAGCTAGCCCCCAGGACAGTAGCCCTGCCAGTCTGAATGCCAAAGTGCACAAGCACTTTGTTCCTGGTGTCCGGGTCTACCTGGCCCAGGCCTTCCCAGTGAGGAGGGAGAAGCCTTCCCATCCCCCAAGCTCCCTTGGGATGCAAGACCCCAGGCACCACGCCACTTGCTCATTCCCTCGATTTTGTGGGAGTTGACCCAGCCGCTGATGGATCTGATAGATCTGGCACCTCCTGTGCCAAGCAGACCCGGGCTCCAGTCCCGCCCCCTCGTGTAGGGTCTGGGCCACCCCGGCCAAGTTGCTGGACTTCTCCGAGCCCCGTTGTTTCCACGTGTAAGATGAGCTGGACGAGACGGTGATGGGATGACGTGGCCCGTGACCTGCGGTGGCTGAGGCTGTGGGCGCCATGACAGCCCTGGGGGCGATGTGAGATCAGCCCCCACGGGTCTTGTTCTTTTATCACCTACTCATGAGGCTTTCCTGCTTGCAGGTGTATTCCCACCCTGAGGCCAAGCACTGTCACAAGGCGCTGACACCTTTGCTCTGTGATCATTTTGCGCTGTGCCCAGGAAGGTTTCCGCTTTTGTCTTGGTTGCACACGCAGAGACTTTTATTTGTCTCCATCGTGGTTTCCCTCTGCACAGAATAAAATGCAAATCCCTCTTTGTTGAGAAAATTCCCTAGTGGCTACAAGGCTTTCTTGCTTTTCTGTTTTAACCCTAAAAGTGTACGATTCTTATGTGAAACAATCTCTGCTCTGTGGCTGCTGTGGCTGCATCGGGGGTGCACAGTCACCTGCTCACAGCCTCGCTCCCGGGGCCGGCCACGCACCCCACATGGCCGGCGCTTCTTTCTTTCTTTTCCTCTAGCAGCTCGACTCCCCTTGTGGTGCTTGAGCCTTTTAAATCATTCTTCCTCCTGGCGTGTGATCAAGTCTGCAGATTCTTTCTCTGTAGATTAATGAGATGCGGATTCTAATTTCCCTCCGCCCCCTCCGCCCCGGGGCGATGGGAACAGGGGCAGTGGCCGGCGCCACGTGCATCATGTGCGCTTTCTCTCCAAGGCGCTGTGAGCCCCTCTTTGTTCTGGGCTGCAGGCCTGCATCCGACTCCCCCCCAACCCAACAAAGGCAGATCAGGGCGGCCCTGGTGCACGGGGCTCTGGGCGGCCCATGTCCATCTCCAGGCTGTGAAAGAGCAGGATTTCAGGCCCAGAGCAAACAAAGGGCATCTCCTGTCCCAGCCGGGCCGATCTGGCGAGGCGTCCTTGCCTGCGGGATCCGCTCCTGAACCGCTCTGGGCCCAGCTCCACCCGTCACCAAAGTGCTGAGGGCACCCCGAAAAACATGGCCCACCCTTCCGATTGCTCATCATTTTGCTAACTCTTCCAGTACTCTTAGTGCGTTGGAGACACACTTGCTCGAGCACAGTCTCAAATGTCCTGCAGCCTCCCCTGCCACCCTGCGTCTGGCTCAGTTAAAATCCAGTCTGGCTTGGCAGGTCTCAACGATTTCAGCTACCTTCACACGAACTGCTTCGAGCTGTCCATCTACGTGGGCTGCGATAAGTACCCCCACGAGAGCGAGCTGCCTGAGGAGTGGGAGAATAACCGGGAGTCCCTGATTGTGTTCATGGAGCAGGTGGGTGCGCGTCGGGGCTGAGGGTGCGGAGGAGGGGGGTACTGGATGACAAGTGCAAATGAGAGCACACCGGTAGACCCCAGACAGCTCTGGAAGGACCCGAAGTCTCTTGTCACTTGCTTAGACGCCGAGAAGTGAGCTGTAGCTCCATGGGGATTGCTCCCACCTCTTCATGGGGTGTGAGGCTGCTTTGGGGGTCCTCAGGTGTTGCTCTGTGGGTGGGCGATATAGATCTTGTTTTGCTCTGCAGGAGACATGACAAAGTGCACAGGAGGGATGTGAACAGCAGAAGTCAGACTTCTGGAGCTTGGCGGTCAGGAGGGAGGGCAGCAGTGGGTTCGAGCCATGGCCTCTCTCTGTGGCTGGCTGGCCCCCCCAGCGCCCCGTCCGGTCCTTCCTCTGTGCGTATCGCCCTGGTGTGTGGTGTCCAGATTTCCCCACATGAGGACGCCTGTCAGGGGACCAGGGTCTGCGCTGACGTGCAGGTTGTGGGCCAGGACGTCGCCGTAGAGTACTGGTGCAGGCGCAGTTCAGCCTGGGGCGGGCTGGCGGGTACTAAGGGACAGTTCTGACCCCACTGGCCAGGTTCTGCTCACAACTGGGGAGGAAGCCCCTTGCATCTGCTGGGCCCACAAGAGCCCCGTTGTTTCCCCTCCTCCTGCTCGCAAGGACGCCTCTACTCAGGAAACTGGCCCTAGGTCAGTGCCAGAACAGACGAACGACACCCCTGCCCCGAGCAGAGCAGAGTAACCGAAAAGGAATGAACAGGAGCAAAGGGTGACGTCCCTGTGGTGACGCAGCTGGGCCTCCCAGCCGGCAGAAGCAGGGGCTGAGGCCCCGGGGGTGCCCCTTCCTCCCAGGGTGGGGGCAAGTGAGCCAGAGATGCATCAGCCAGCGGGATGGGCTGCTGGCTTCATGGCACCTGCATCGCCCCAGGTGACACAGGTGACAGAGGCCGGCGCATGGAATGGCGGGGTGGCGCCCAGGGCGGCGCGGAGCTGCTGGCTGTTGAGCGAGGGGCCGGCTCTGGCTGTTCAGCCTTCTCACAGTGTGGCCGGGCCGGCGCTGGCACTCTGACCCTTTTCCTCATCATTTTGCCCGGCAGGTTCACCGTGGCATCAAAGGCCTGGTGAGGGATTCACGTGGGAAAGGGATCCCGAACGCCGTGGTCTCTGTGGAAGGCATCAACCACGACATCCGAACAGGTAGCTGCAAGTGAGCCGTCTCTCGGCGGGAAGCATTCAGTTTTCTCAAAATACTGCACTTGGGTTAAAATCACAATTTGGGGCCCTTCCTGGTGGCATGGTGGGTTGAAGCGCAGCACTAAGAAGCTAAAGCCGCTTCCGCATGAGTTCGATCCCCGCCCTCCCCGGAGGTAACCACAGGGCGCGGCAGACCTCTCCTGACCCGCCCGCTGCTCCCCTCAGCAGTGTGTTTTATCACTCTGCCTGTTCTGCTCCCCAGTCTGTCTCTGATGAAGCCTCTCCCCGCCCCCGAACCTCTGGCCTGTACCCCAGTTCTGTATGAATAAATAAATAAATCTTAAAAAAAAAAAAATCACCACGTGAACATCAGCTTACTCAGAGCTGATTATCCACTCCTCCCTTCAACCTTCCTTGGAGACCCTGAACATCAGGCCTGTCCGCCTATGCTTTCCGGCTTCTCTCTCTTCCTCATTCAGGCAGAAAACAGTTTCCGAAAGGTGAAGGGGTGAGGGGCTGTGTCTGCTCCCCACGGGCTGCCCCGCCCTCCTGCATCCACGCTGCCTATTGCATTTGGGGTTTGGTGTTTGGTTTTCTGTAATTTTGAGACTTCCTGTTCCTTACTGATTAGAAGTGGGGTGCTAGCAAGCCCTGCTTCCCGCCATACTGAGTCCCATCGCTCTGTGGGTGGCTGGAATTGACGTAGGCCTTGGCTGCTGGGCAGCGTTTGCAGCACGCACGTGTGGTGGAAGCCGTCGGCTGTGTGTGTGAGTCCGGTGGGCTGCAGGACTCTGGTGTGTCCAGAGGGGTGGGGAGACCGTGCATGGGGTTTTCACGCCCGGCAGTGTGAGGAGCTGCACCCACTCCACGGAGCCGTCACTCGGGGAGCTGCGGGCCGGTGTTTATTTCGTGTGTGACAAATCACTGCAGGCTGCTGGCTCAAAGATCCGATTCATCCTCCCGGTTCTGGAGGCCGGACTCTGAGCGTGCGGCCTGCGGTGCCTGTGCGCTGAGCCTGGTCCTTCCCTGACTTCCGGCTCCGGTGGGGCCGTTCATCACATGACACAAGCCCATCGCCTGGCACTCAGTAGGCGCTCGGTAAACATTTGCCCACTAGTGAATGGGCCTGAGGAATGAATGAGCACCGCATGGGGGTCCCATGCAGTGAGTGGCAGAGCTGGGACCCTGAATGCACGCACCCCTTCCCTCCCAAAGCGAGGAGGGGGCTCTTCCCCGCACACTGTCCTGGGACTTGGCCCAACAAGTTACCTGTTTCACCTGTGAGGAAACGGAGACTCCGGGACGTGCGGACGGGAGAAGCTGAGCTCAGACTTGTCAGGTACAGAGCCCCATTCCTGTCCAAACGGGGGCACGCACAGATGCTGTGTGCTGCTGAGAAGCACGCTGTTTCTTCATCCAGCAGCCTTTGCTGATCACCCCTGCCCTCGTCCTGAGGCCCTTAAACACTTGCCCCCGGGGCCAGCCCTCAACCCCAACATTTCACACTGTGTATCACCTTTACGGCATGCGGGGGGCCTCGCAGGAGCCCACTGATTCAGTTGCTTGTACATTGATCCATTTACTAGTTAAACATATGTGGACTGGGAGAGGCCAGACACCTGTGGGCAGCTGGAGGCTGTTTGCCCTGACCCCGCACAGGGCCTATTTCGAGCACCGCTATGAGTTCCTTTAAAGGAGCCTGGAATGTTCCTGGGAGCTAGTGCCTGGTGGCAGTGTGAGCAAACAGGAGGGCTTAAATGGAGTGGGAGATAAAAAGGCCCCCGGGCCCCACAAACCAGCAGGAGTACTTTGCCTAATGAGCTCTGAATTTCAAGCCCTGTCATCAAGGAGACAGTTTTGATGAGCTAATGGGAAACGGATCTCTCTCTCCCTTCCTATCCCCTATAAATAATTTCCTGGTGCACCGCGTGATGGATGGATTCCCAATCCGTGCAGGGCTCGAGAGAGCACTGGCTTCGGCGTCTTTCAGTGCTCAACATAAGCCGTGAATTTGTCTTGTTTTCTGTCTGAGGCTCCTGTGATCTGACAAGATTGATTTCAGGAGGGATTTTGTATAAAATCAACAGGGTTATTAAACAGAATCTCACAGGAGGAAGCTGGTAAGATGCTTCCTCAGTGCACGTGACGAGGTTGCGAACACCTGCTCCAGAAGGCATGTGACTGGCTTGGTTTGGTGGACACGCGCCTGCGTTGCCCCTCTGTCCACTGGTTGCCCCTCTGTCCACAAAAGCTGGGCGATGTCAGCCGTGCTGCCCTCCCCTGGACATCTCACCTCTGATCACACACCAGGCAGTTCAGGGTTCAGCAGCCCAACACGCTGTCTCCTGAGCTCCAGGAAGCGGGTGGCTCTGACATTTCTGGAGGGTCAGAGGTGGAAGCAGAGATAACCAGTGCCCTGGGGACAGATGAGGGGAGAGCCCAACTGAACTTCCAGGGAGAGGGTGCCTTGCTGGCAGAGCTTCAGGCCTCTCTGTGCCTCAGACGGGAGAGCTGATGCCCCTGGCTCTGATCTACAAACCTGAACAGGCCTCCAGTGGTTCTCTGCATTCACTTCCCCCGTCTTGCTGAGCATCTCCTGAGGGGCAGACTGGAAGAGCCTGCATCCCGGTGCAGAAGGTCTCTGGGCAGCTGTACAGCAGAGTTAGCAACTTCACTGCAGGGTGTGACAGCAAGAAAGACAGAGATTGGCTAACAAGTAGAAATAGGTGGAAAGTCAAGGAGGCCCCGTCCTGGGGGCGTGAGGAGTAGAAGACCTTTACAAGAGAAGGGAACAGCCTTCCATCCGCGGGAACAATCACTGCAAAGGCTCAGAGTCAAGAGTTAAGGCACCCGAGGAAGGCCGGTGTGGCTGGGGAATATTGGGCCAGCAGGGAGCGGCCTGAGTTTGAGTTTGTTCTAAGATCTGAGCCCGTATTAGAAAGGGGCGAGTCTCTGGCCGGCGGGACACCCTCCCCAGCGGTTATTTGCACAAAAGTGAGCAAATTGCACCTGGATTTTCTCACTTAATCCAACAGGGGCTGAGGGGAGCAGCGGGCGGGTCAGAAGAGGTCTGCCGCGCCCTGTGGGTCTCCTCCGGGGCAGGCGGGGATCGAACTCATGCAGAAGTGGCTTTAGCTACTTAGTGCTGAGCTCTAACCCGCTGCGCCAGGGAGGGCCCAGAATCAATTACTTTTAACTTACAAGAGTGGCTTTCATTGTGTATAAAAAAATCCACCCCCCTAGACATTTAGACAGAACCCTCAGCCTGACTGTTCATCGGCTGAGAGCTGAGCCAGCACACAAGCTGGAGCTAATCCCCTGAGCGTCGGTGAGGAGGAAGCACCAGCCACAGAGACCCGACCTGATCGACTTCTCGTGCGAACAAGACACCCAGCACACCCTGAGGACGCTACCGCAGGGCCGGGGCGGGAGGAGAGAGCACGCTGGCTCGGGAGAAGCCAGCCCAGGCTGGCGGCCGGCAGCGCGGCTCCCGTGACTTTGTAGAGAAGGAGAAAACCACACGGCCTGCGCCAGAGGCGGGCTCGGCGCCAGCACTCAGCTGGTCCTCCCAGTGCCCGGTTCCCAGGGGACGCGCTGGCCGCCTTTTTGTCTTACAACCTCCTCAGCGTCTGGCTGAGTGTTTTCAGCAGGTGGTAGGCTCTGGGGAGGGGGTGTTTGGGCCCCTCTCTTTGTGACAACGATGTAGCCTGGAGCGAAGGATGGACTTGGGGCCCGTGTTGGGTGACTGGTCAGTGGTGTCAGCGGGGCAGCGAGGACCCTGCCTTGCAGTGCACCTGTGTGTCTCCCCCGCAGAACCGAGTTTCTCCTGGCTTTGCCAGCCTCGCCCGGTCCCCGTGGCCTGCCCTGTATGGTCCTCTGCCCTCTTCAGAAGTGCAGACCCCCAGCCCTTTGGAAAGCGACGTCTGTATTTGCAGCTGTGCTGAGGGGAGCCAGCGAGTGGGCACCCCTGGCTTTTCAACAGGGCATTTTGTGGTGAGGCCCGTCACTTGGAAGTTCAAGTTCGTGACGGATGGCTCCTTTTGTCGCAGCAAGGGAGTGTTTGTGATCTGTCTCCATCTCTGTGCCTTTTTTTTTTTTTTTAAAGATTTATTTATTTGTGCATACAGAACTGGGGTACAGGCCAGAGGTATGGGGGGTGAGAGGCTTCCTCAGAGACAGAGTGGGGAGCAGAGCAGGCCGACTGTCAGAAGTCCACTGCTGAGGGAGCAGCGGGCGCCGTGTGGTCACCTCTGGGGCGGGGATCGAACTCATGCTGCAGCGGATTTAGCTTCTTAGTGCTACGCTCTAACCCCCTGCACCCCCAGGGAGGCCCCCCCTCCCCCGCGCAGGTTTTTTTTAACCCAGCAGGGAGCTGATACCCAAACCCGCTTCCTGCTCCAGCCATCAGGCACGGAGAACAGCCCAGCTTCCAGGAGGCAGTGAGCCCTGCCTTTCGGGGGCTCCCATGCCGCCCAGCCTGAGCCCCTCTCTGCGCAGGGCTGGCCTTGGGAGCAGGCCGGCGGTGTCCGTGTGAGAAAGAACCGCCTGACCCGCTTTCTGTTCCCAGCCAGCGACGGGGACTACTGGCGTCTTCTCAACCCCGGAGAGTACGTGGTCACCGCCAGGGCGGACGGCTTCACTTCCTCCACCAAGAACTGCATGGTCGGCTACGACATGGGGGCCACGCGCTGCGACTTCACCCTCGGCCAGACCAACCTGGCGCGCATCCGCGAGATCATGGAGAAGTTCGGGAAGCAGCCGGCCGGCCTGCCGGCGCGGCGGCGGAGACTGCGCGGGCGCAAGCGCCGGCAACGGGGGTGACCGCTCGGACAGCGCCCTGCCCCGCGCACGGAGGCCTCGGCGGCCGCTCGTTTTCCCAGGAGGCGCATGTGTGCGTTGCGGCCCCTGGGGGCCACGGGCTGAGGGTGTCCTTTCTTTTCTTTGTTCTCCGTACCCACGGAACTTGAACAGAATAGCGGGGAAGGCTGGTCAGCGCGAGCGAGTGGGCGGTCAGCGGGCGTCCCAGCGTGAGAGACGCTTGCACCTGCGGGACCAGAGGGTTGGGGGGCGGGGGGGCAGCGCCCCTCCCTGTGCAGACAGCGAGGACTCCCCTGGAGGCTGCGATCTGCTCCCCGCCTTCACGCCCCCCCCCCCAAGGCTCTGCTGCCCCAAATGCTGTCCTTGGAGGGGCTCGGGGCGCTCTAAGAGAACCCAGCCAGCCTTTCTTCCGCGGGGACATTCCAACCGCTGCCAATAAATTCGCTCTCTGAACAGACGCAGGTGAGTGAGCATCCGCAAGCCTCGTCGGTTTCGCTTTCCTTTCAACAGGAATGCGTCACAGAGGGGAGACAGGCTGAAGGCACCCAATAGTGGTGGTTGGACAGCGGGCATGGGGCTCGTTGGCTGTGTCCTGCGACCCCACCAGCCCCTGCTGCTCCAGGGGCCCGGGGCTTCCCTGACGGGAGAGCAGGGCCAGCCGGTAGGGGGCCAGTTTGTGTGGCCTGGCTCCTTTGACCTAGGAGGACCTGAGAAGGGCCTGCCCCGCCCCCTCTACTCAAGACACCCCCTTCCATAGCAGTGAGCCCCCCATGTTGGCCTGGCATCCCCGGGAGCCTGCTTGGAGTGTGGAATGCCCGACCCTCCTTGGGGTGAGTGTGGGCAGCTCTTGATCTTCTTTGGGCTGAGTGCGGGCTGGTGCCCAGCGTTGCTCAGGAGGGTGACTGGCAACCCTGCAAAAAAGCCGCTCGTCTCCCTCTTTAGCAGTGTTACTGCCCACTGACCTGCATGAAGGAAAATAAAGCTAATGGTGAGATCCTGTCCGTGTGTGGCTTGGGGACAGAACCACAGCGACCGAGAGCCACACCTCACGCCCCAAAGCGCAGTCTGTGACCCTTCCCTGCGTGGGAAGGTCATTCTGCACCCCTTTGAGTTGGCTACCAGTGGCCTCTGAGTCCCCCGCTTCCCCCGAGGCCAGTGCCTGGAGAAGTGGCCCTGACCCTGGCATCCCTGGGGGCATGTGGGGGTGCCTCGCTCTCCCTTGGAAGGGAGAGCCTCACATTCCTTTTGGACCATGACCCAACACCAGCAAACTTTTCTTAGGCGGGATCAGACAGTGACCACTTAGGTTTTGCCAGCCATGAAGCCGCCTTCACACACTGCTTTGCTCTCGTAGCACAAAAACAGGCCTGCGTGATCCAGAAATGAGTGGGCGTGGCTGTGTTCCGGTAAAAAAAAAAACAAAAAAACAAAAAAAAAAACGGTCTTTACAAAAACCTGGGTCAGATGTGGCCTCCAGGCTGGGGTGCAGTTATTAGCCCCTGCTACAGGCCTGTGCTACCCAACAGAACTTTCTGCACGAGGGGGAATGTCCTGCTCTGGCCATGGGTGAGCACTTGAAACGTGGCCCCTGAAACCAGGCGCCATAGTGGGGGTCGGTGGTGATGCAAAGCATTTCATTGATAAGCCAGCTCTGCAGCAGGAGGCATGCGCACCCAAGCCCCCTCTGCCAGGGTGATCTGTTCCTAAGGGGGGCGGGCCGAGGGCAGGCCCCCCAGGGCACCTCCACGGAGCCTTGCCCTCAGCCCTGCCCTCAGCCCTGCCTCTGCTGGCCTGGCATCACCGGGAGCCTGTTTGAGGTGCAACTCTGGACACCTGGGCCCCTCCTGGGCCTCAGCTTCCCCGTCTCTAAGGCAGGTTGTCCTGCTCCCCTTCCTTCCTCAAAGAAGACAGAGCAGCCTGCTGGAGCTTCTTTCCACAGAGCCTGCACTGCGCTGAACCTTCTCTGGACTCAGCTGACCATCCAAAGGAAAGCTGGGTGTCGCCTTGGATTCATGGGTCTTTGGCACCCCCAGCTCTGAGACTCGGCCTCCCCCGCTGCACACACCAGAGGCGACCGCATGGCAGCCAAGAGTGGAAGCAGCCGACCGTCCCTCCCCCGAGGACGGAAAAGTAAATGTGGTTTATCCAGACAGCAGAACATGACACCTCAGGGCGTGTGGACTTGGAACCCGATGCCAAGCAGAACACGTTAGTCACCAAAGACCACTTGCTGTGTGAGTCCATTTATACGCACTGTCCGGAAGGCGCATATTCCCAGCAACAGAAAATAGTTCAGCGTTTGCTCCGACCAGCTGGCAGAGAGGGAGCTGGGGAGGGCACAGTGGCGAGGGGAGTGAGGTCTCTTCCTGGGGTGATGACAATACTCTAAATTTGGTTGGGGCCGATGGTGGCACAACTCTGCAAAATGTCTGACTTACCCGGTTTGAGTAAGAGAGCTGTCTGCAATAACTGTCTCAGCGGAGCTCTTTAAAAGGCCACATAGCTGTACCTGATTAATAAGCATCGTTTTCAAGTGTGACTTTCTAAGCAAGACCTTAGTTGCATAACCGGTTTTCAGATTCCATCCTAGTTTGAAGGAGGGCAGGTTCCTACTGAATCTATGCAAATAGCTGTATCTCCCTACAAAGTAAGGAGATTAGGTAAGAGTTTCTAACATCAGGTGTTGAAAACCAAGCAAATAAAATTTGCTCTCCACGTGTGTTCTTTATTAGCTGCTTCGTGCTCTGAAATAAATTAACACGTTGCTTAAAATAGGTCCCTGGGCTCTGCAAGGCCAGGACAATTTAATCCTCATGTATTCATTATTCATTAATGTATTATTTATTTAGTTCAATCATTTATTAGTTATTTGTTTAAGAAGTGTTTGACCACCAATCATTTTTGTTCTCTTCAAATGTGCCCATCAGGAAACTTGTAAAAAGCCTTCAGTTTAAATTTTCAACACGGAAAACACTGATGGTTACAACATTAAAAATCAAAAGCTCTTTGGGATCCTTGTAAATTTTAGGAGGAAAATGGTATCTGGAAACCAAAAATCTGAGAAATGTTACTTGAGGAGAAAACGGTTTTCCTTGAAAAACAGAAGCACGTAACAGCTGCATTTCTGTGTCACCAAAGCTCCTGTGTCACCACAACCACTATCTCCACTATAGTTTTTAACCGAAGTCAATCATTTCTCTCGCACGGAAATGTCTGTGGGATGGCTAATTGCAAACTGTTACCAAGCACCCATATCTCTGAAACTAACAGAGCTCATGAATTTACATCACAACTTTCCGTAACTACAATAACTTCCTTAAAAAATTGCTAAATGCTCCAGTACAAAAGCATGCAGGTCCATTAAAATGCCTCACTGCGTGTACAGATAAAAAGAAAAGGTCTATAAATTCAAAATTATGCTTATAAATCAATGTTTCAGCATTCATCTTGCTGAGAAAGGATCTAAACATCCGATGATTATCCATTAACTTATACAATTTAATACCAGTCTCAGAGTATAATTTTTTACTGGAAAATGTTGGAAATTATCTTTAAGTTGACACACTATACAACATAATTACTGTTGACATATAGAATATGAATCAGAATAATGATTCAATTTAGATGAACACAAATTTACATTTTTCAAGCCCGGAAACATTAACAAGGAATAATATTATCTAATTTGATGAGTAAAAATGAGTAAGTTTAGAAAAAAATACCGAATAGAAGAAAGCGAGGCTTGTATAATATATAACACTCATTAATGAGAGATGTTATAGTTGTTTTTTATTAAATCAAAATTATTAAAGTGTCCCAGAGATTTGCCTTAACTGTCTACATTCCTAGTTTGCTTGGCAAACATTTAAAGTATTGCTAGTATAATGTCTTTTTTCCTGACAATTTTAGGAAATAACTTGGGTTTTCCTTGATCTCTATAAGCCAATCAGACCCTTTGTCATTTAATTTATTAGCGGAAGGCGTGTGCAGGGGAGCTAAAGCCCTTTAGCGGAAGCTAAAGCCCTTTCTGAATTTCAGACAGAGGCATTCACAGGGAGCCTGTAGCTTCAACACGTTAGCTGCTTCACAAGAAATGGCCGAGTAGAGACCTAAGTGGGCCCAGCTGACCCGAGTGGGAGCCCCCACGGGAAAGAACTCGCCAGAGGGTGCTGGGTGCGGCTGAGCCAGACAAGGCTTTATTAGCCGTGCATGTGATGCACCAGGACCGAAACTCAGAATTCAAACGGGTTCCCCAAAGGGTGCTGGAGGAGAAATTTCAAGCGGGGAGTGGAGGGCTGCCCGCCCAGCATCCACGTGGGCTCTCTGGGCGTAGTGCTCATGGTCTTCACCTGCGGTTGGGAAGCCTGAGTCCTGGGGACTGCTGCTCCCCTGCACACGCCTTCCCCAACGGCTGATGGGGTGAGCTTGCAAACACGCCAACTCCTTCGGCTGAAGATGCAGACATTTCTGGGTGAGTACAGTTGTCCCCAAAGCCCCCCGAGGCTCTGGTCAAGGCCGCCGTGGGTGCCCTTGGCTTAACCTCATGTTCTGGCTTGGACTTCTCCCGCACCTCAGGCCTCCTATCAGGCTTTCCCAGATTCGTTTCCCAACAAATCATTTGCACACCAGTCTTCCTTGCAGAAGCTGCTTCTGGAAAACCCAACCTAAGGGCCCTAGTCCCTTCACATTTAGTCACGGAAGCCTCTTGGGTAAGTTTATAAGTTCGGGCTGACGAGACCAAAGCGAGAAGCCCAGGAGTGAGACCCAGGAGAGGAGGGCCTTCTCATCTGTCCTTCTTTAGGCCTTTTTGTTTCTTCTATTTACTTTCGTCAGCCTGGGATGGAGACGAGCAGGCTGGTGCCCTGGCAGCTGCCTCGCAGGCTGAAGCTGGAACCAATTTGGAGGATGGCAGAACCTGGGGCCGGGGACACCAAGCGCCATGTCAGCATCAGTTGTTCGCCTCTGGCCATTTCCTCACTTTCATTTCACCCTTGACTGCAGGACTTTACTTAGATGCAGCCGATCTTAATCCTTACTGACACAAGGCTCAAATTCAGGTCTCTGATGCAAAAGTTAGCATCTCTAAACCACAAGCAAGACTGAACTCAGGAATAACTTTGCATATATTTTTCTAATTTAGTCTGCCTCAGAACTTTAGAAACCAAAAGCCAACATGCTAAACTGTAACTAAAAAGAATAATAGTGTTGCTGGGGTGTTTTCAGTTTCGGTTTCCAAGTGTTTCATTATGTGCTGAGGTCTTTTATGAACAACCTCACCAAATCACCGACTATTGCTAGTTTTCCTCAAGTTGTCATTGGGTACCATATCCGAGGGCAGCAATCATTGCTAAGGATTCTAAAGTGAGAATAAAAGTGCTTCCGGACCTTGACCTTGTTGGAATTATAAACGCCTCTGTGTTCACACATTTGAGTGGGAACTTTCAGCTTGGTGAATCCTTATCAGCAACCAGATACTTTTTAAAAAAAGGTTTGTGTATTTATGCATACAAGAGCTGGGGTGTAGGCCAGCGATGTGGGGTTATAGGGGGCAGGGGAGAGGATTCGCCAGAGACAGAGCAGACAACAGACAGGCAGGTTTACTGAAATACACTGCTGAGGGGAGCAGTGGGCGGGTCAGGGGAGGTCCGCTGAGCCATGTGGGTTACTCCCTGGCCGGGGATTGAACTCATGCTGCAGTGGCTGGCAATAGTTTCATAATGCTGACATTTTACCCCTTGCACTAATGCTTTGCATTAGCAGAGAATATAAGCATGATGTTTCAAAACATTTCAAAACATGCAACATCTTGTTGCATTTATAATAAACTTTTTAAAATAAAGAACTGTGTAGGGAAGGGGAAGGTTCGAATCCGGTGGCAGAAGGGAGTGAGAAACAATGTACAGATGATCAGTGGCCAGATGGTTAGAGGAAGGCGAAGGAGCAACACGTGAGCCGGTGAGAGACATCAAGATCGAACTTCATCCCCTGGCCCCTTTAGGGTTCTACCACCCCTCTCCCTATCTCCGTGCTGATG